CTCCAGTAACCCTCAGTTTGTCCTCCATATTTATGAGTCTCTTCTGTTTTGTCCCCCTCCCTGTTCTTATATTATTTTTGTTTCCATCCCTGATGTTCATCTGTTTTGTCTCTTGAAGTCCTCAGATGAGTGAAGTAATATGATATTTGTCTTTCTCTGACTAATTTCACTTAGCATAATACCCTCTAGTTCCATCCACGTAGTTGCACATGGCAAGATTTCATTCTTTTTGATTGCTGAGTAATACTCCATTGTGTCTATATATATATATATATATATATATATATACACCACATTTTCTTTATCCATTCATCCATCGATGGACATTTGGGCTCTTTTCCATACTTTGGCTATTGTTGATAGTGCTGCTATAAGCATGGAGGTGCATGTGTTCCTTCAAAACAGCACACCTGTATCCCATGGATAAATGACCAGTAGTGCAATTGCTGGGTCGTAGGTTAGTTCTGTTTTTAGTTTTTTGAGGAACCTCCATACTGTTTTCCAGAGTGGCTACACCAGCTTGCATTCCCAGAAAAGGAGTATGATTTTAATATCAAGCTCAATTGACTAGACAGCAGGATTTACTGTGATCTCTTTTCCAGCAAAGAAGAAGTTTAATTTAACAGTCTCTGTGTGTTAGTACTGTGTATTAGTACCTAGATAGAAAATGAATATAGTCTCAGCCACTTGGAAAAGTATGAGATTCTTGATATCCTTTAATAGCGGAGCCTTTGAAGTATTAAGTATTGTCTCAAATGTATTAGTGCTGTTTCAACTCTGAATTTTAAATTTGTTCAGATCATCACTGACTGCTTTCATATGCTTTGATTCTTTCATACCTATGTCTTTGGTGTGTGGGGCTCTAGTTGATGCTTTTCATTGCTTCTGTGGATCTGTCTTAAGATTTACCAGTTCTTTTCTGTCTTCTCTGATCTGTTAAGCCCATCCAATGGATTTTTATTTTAGTTACTATATTTTTCAGGTATAGAATTTCCATTTGGGTCTTTTTTATAGTTTCCATTTCTCCAAAGTTCATTTATTAAGCTATATATTTTTAAGTTGTTTAAATATATTTATAACGGCTACAACAAGGTCTTTGCTAATTCCAGTAGCTGGGCCCTTGCTAGATTGGTTTTTGTTCACTCTTTTTTTCTTTGATTATGGCTCACATTTTTATTAGTAATTTTTATTGTACACTGGACATTGTAGATGGTACATTATAGAGATTCTGTTTTCTGTTATTCTCTGAAGAATATTGATTTTTGTTTTTTGTAGGTAGTTCGGTTAGTAGCTGATGATCTTGAACTTACATGGGCATGATTTGACAGGTTTTTAGGGGAACTCTGGAAAAGCTCAAGGTACATAATCTTTAAATTTTTTTAATGTTTATTTTTTAGAGAGACAGAGACAGAGACAGACAGAGCATGAGTGGGGGAGGGGCAAAGAGAGAGAGGGGGACACAGAATCTGAAGCAGGCTTCAGGCTCCCAGCACAGACCCCTGTGTGGGGCTCAAACTTCATGAACTGCGAGATCATGACCTGAGCCAAAGTCACATGCTTAACCACTGAGCCACCCAGGCATCCCTCAAAGTACATAATCTTTAAACTCTGTCTCCCCTGTGATTTTTGTCAGGGTTTTGATTTAAGTCTTTTTGGGAGTTGGTTTAGAATTGGCATCTTTCTAAATCATGGTCCTTTTTAAAAACATTATACCTGACTGTGTGTGAGTGTGTGTGTGTATTTTACTTGATTTTGTATTTACAAAATATATTTTGGCTAAATTTCCATGTCAAAATATATAAATCTATTTCTTTTAATTAGTATTTATCTCAGAATAAATGTAATATAACATTTAATTATCCACTTGATAATTAGACATTTAGGTTGTTTCTTATTTGTCTTTAGTAGAAAGATGCTATGAATATCCTTGCACATATTATCTATCTGTACTTGTAGGAAAATAGAAACACTTGTGGTAAATATTTGTCAGTATTCTGCAGATAAAAACAGTGGGATTGTTAAATTTGCATTTCTTGGTTTACTAATAAAGTTAAGTATCTTTTCATGTGGGTTACTAGCCAGTTACCATTCATCTAGTTCTGTAAAAGATGCTATTTGGGTTTTGAGGGGGATTGCACTGAATCTGTAGATCACTTTGGGCAATAAGGACATCTTAACAATACTAATTACTCCAATGCACAAACATAGTATCTTTCCATTTCTTTGTGTTTCTTCAGTTTCTTTCATCAATGTCTTAAAGTTTTCAGTGTAAAGATCTTTCACCTCCTTGATTTATTTTTATTTTAGAGAGAGAGTGAGCAGGGGAGAGAGAGAGGTAATCTTAAGCAGGCTCCACACTCAGTGTGGAACCCGAAACAGGGCTCAATCTCATGACTCTGGAATCCGGACCTGAGCTGAAATCAAGAGTCCGACGCTTAACCAACTGAGCTACCCAGGTGCTCCTCACCTCCTTGGTTTAATTTATCCCAAAGTATTTTATTCTTTTTGATGCTATTGTAAATGGGACTGTTTTTCTTTTTCTTTTCTTTTCTTTTTGTTTGGATAGTTTGTTGTTAGTGTATGGAAATACAGCTGATTTTTGTATGATGTTTTGTATCCTCCAACTTTACTAAATTCATTTATTAGTGCTAACAGTTTTTTGGTAGAGTCCTTAGGGCTTTTTACATATGAGATCATGTCATATGCAAACAAAGTTTTACTTTGTCCTTTCTGGATTGGATTCCTTATATTTCTTGCCTAATTGTCCTGGCAAAGACTTTCAGTATTTTGTTGACTAGAAGTGGTGAGAGTGGGCACATTTGTCTTATTCCTGATACTAGAAGAAAAGTTTTCAGCTTTTCACCACAGAGTATGATATTAGCTGTAGGCTTGTTATATATGGCCTTTATTATGTTGAGGTACATTCCTTTTATATCTGATTTATTGAGAGTTTTAATCATGAAAGGATGTTGAATTTTTGCAAATGCTTTTTCTGCCTCTTTTGAGATGATTATATGATTTTTGTTCTCCCTTTTGTTAATGTGGTTTATTACATTTATTGATTTATGTATAGTTAAAGTAATCTTTCATTCCAGGAATAAATCCCTCTTGATCATGTATCTAATCCTTTAAAATTTTTTTTTTCAACGTTTTTTATTTATTTTTGGGACAGAGAGAGACAGAGCATGAACGGGGGAGGGGCAGAGAGAGAGGGAGACACAGAATCGGAAACAGGTTCCAGGCTCTGAGCCATCAGCCCAGAGCCCGACGCGGGGCTCGAACCCACGGACCGCGAGATCGTGACCTGGCTGAAGTCGGACGCTTAACCGACTGCGCCACCCAGGCGCCCCTCTAATCCTTTTAATGTGATGTTGAATTTAGTTTGTTGGTATTTTGATAAAGATTTTTGCAACAGTGTTTATCCTATAGGGATATAGCCCTGTAATTTTCTCTTCTTGTAGTGTCCTGATCTGGCTTTGGTATGTGATTAGTACTGGCTTCTTAACATGAGTTTGGAAGTTTTTCCATCTCTTCAATATTTTGGAAGCATTTGAGAAGGAAAAGTGATAATTCTTCCTTAAATGCTTGATAGAATTTACCATTGAAGCCATCTAGTCCTAGGATTTGTTGTTGTTGTTGTTGTTGTTCAGAGACTTTTGATTACTGCTTCAATTTTCTTGCTTATTATAGATCTGTTCAGATTTTTTCTCTTCATTATTTAGTCTTGGTATGTTGTATATTTGTAGGAATCTATCCATTCCTTCCGGGTTATCCCAGAAATGTACTCTTTCATTTATAATTTTATTTGACCCTTTCTTTTGCTTAGTTAGCAAAAAGTTTCTCAGTTTTGTCTTTTCAAAAAACCAGTTCTTCATTTCAGTGATTTTTATCTATTGTTTTCTAGCTTCAAAGTTCATTTCTGCTCTCATCTTAGTTTCCTTCCTTAAGCTAACTTTGAGATTAAGCTGTTCTTCCTTTTCTAATTACTTAAGGTGGAAAGTTAGGTGGTTTATCTGAGATCTTTTTTTTTTTTTTTACTGTAGATATTTATTGCTATAAACTTTTCTCTTAGAACTGCTTTTGCTGCATCTGATAGTTGTGGTTTATTGTGTTGCCATTTTCTTTTGTATCAAGATATTTTTTAAGTTCTCTTTTGATTTCTTCTTTGACCCATTGTTCAGTTGTGTGTTATTTAATTTCCACATGTTTGTGAACATTCCAGTTTTCCTTGTGTTAATAGATTTCTAATTTCATACCATTGATGTTGTAAAAGATACATTATACGATTTATATGATATAATGTATCCTGGAGAATATTCCATGCACACTTGAGAAGAATGTGTGTTCTGCTGCTGTAGATTTAAACCAAATCATAACAATATTTACATTAAATGTGAAGGGTGTAAACACCCCAATCAAAAAAGCAGATATTATCAGGCTGGATAAACATAAAAGAATGAACCACTGATGTATATTTCAACATGAATGAATTCCAAAATCATTATGCTAAATGAAAACAACAAGTGATTACATACTATATAATAACATTTACATGGAATTCTAGGAAAGGCAAAACAGGAAGCAGATCATTGTTTGACAGAGTCAGCAGTGAAGGAGAGAGACTGAAAAGGAATAGAAAGGACATTTAGGAGGGTGTAAGAATATTCTAAATTATGATTGTAGTGGTGGTTATGTGACTATGTATTTGTCAAAACTTATCTACATGTACATTGAAAGTTTGTGAATTTTATTCTCTGTAAATTATTTCTCAATAAAACTGATTTCATCACACAGCTAATTAATTATTTGCATGTAGGAGTTCAGGGAATGTAAGGATGAATAAACATGTTTTAAATGAACTGAAAAAAAATGTATTACTGAAATACTGAAAAACAAAATCTCTCTACCCTAATAAAATGATTCAGAATGTTGGAAGTTAATATGGTTTTTTAACTGAGCCGTAATTATCTACTATATTTTTAATATTTTTAAATTATTAGGTTGTACTAAAGCGACAGTACAATGACCAGCACTCCAAACTGAGAGGTCTTTTACCTGGTCGTCAGTGGTATGAAATTCAAGCATATAGGGCCTTAAACCAGGCCCTAGGCAGGTAAGTGAAATTTCATGTAATGTAACTGTAATATTAACCTTTGGTCAGGGCTGTAGAAGAGATAGTCTTGCTACTTTAATCCTTATAATAAATTTGATAGAATTGTATTTCACTAGAACCTTAGGAACTGGTTTGTTTGTTTATGAGAGAGAATGCATGTGAGTCGGGAAAGGGCAGAGGGAGAGAGAGAATCCCAAGCAGGCTCTGTGCCATCTGCACAGAGCTCAATGTGTGGCTCAAACTCACAAACTGTGAGATCATCACCTGAGCTGAAATCAGGAGTCCAATTCCTAAATGACTGAGCCACCCAAGTACCCCTGGAACTGGTATATTTTTAATGATAGATGTCACAAGTGAAAGCTAAAAAGAGTCAATGGAACAAATGAAACTACAAGCTCTGCTAAAGTTTAAAGATTTGTGGTTGGGACACTTGGGTGGCTCAGTCGGTTGAGCATTCAGCTCTGGCTCAGGTCGTGATCTCACAGTTGGTGAGTTTAAGCCCTACATCAGGCTCTCTGCCATCAGCACAGAGCATGCTTCTGATCATCTGTCCTCCTCTCTCTGCCCCTCCCCCACTTGCTCTCTCTGTCTCTCTCAAAAGTAAATAAACAAACTTAAAAAATAAAGGATTTAAAAAATATGTAAAGATTTGTAATTGATCAATGAATGTCACACAGAAGAGGTACTCCATAAATGTTTATAGAAGTTCACTATCTCTGGGGCGCCTGGGTGGCGCAGTCGGTTAAGCGTCCGACTTCAGCCACGTCACGATCTCGCGGTCTGTGAGTTCGAGCCCCGCGTCAGGCTCTGGGCTGATGGCTCGGAGCCTGGAGCCTGTTTCCGATTCTGTGTCTCCCTCTCTCTCTGCCCCTCCCCCGTTCATGCTCTGTCTCTCTCTGTCCCAAAAATAAAAATAAAAAACGTTGAAAAAAAAAATTAAAAAAAAAAAGAAGTTCACTATCTCAAACAATAAAAGTTTTTACCTTGTGAACATCAGAACCCAGTTGATGATTTTATGGGTATAAAGCAAACTATTCAAGAAGAGATAAAACAAACTATACTCGTAGTACTAAAGAATTAACATCAACTAATAATAACATTTAATTGTAATACTTCTTTTCTAAGGATTCTGGTCCATTAAGATTTGTGTTTTGTACAACTAGTTATTAAATCACCATTTTATAGCATAATTTTCATATTGTAGGACATCAACGTTTAATTTATAAACACTGTAATTCTTGTATTTTTAATAATATAATTTAATATTTCATATTCTCTGTTTATGAAATTATAATTAGTTAAAGCCATGTAATTTTCCTGTGAGGCTATAAGACACTCAGATAATTAAAATAGAAGAACACAGGTTAAGAATAAAATCATAAGGGGCTCCTGGGTGGCTCATTTGGTTAAGTGTCCCACTTGGTTTTGGTTCAGGTCATGATCTCGTGGTTTGTGAGTTCAAGCCTCACATCAGGCTCTGTGCCGACAGTGCAGACCCTGCTTGGGATTCTCTTTCTTGCTCTCTCTCTGCCTATCCCCGGCTTGCTGTCTCTCAATAATAAATAAAAATAAAAATAAATATTTAAAAAAAGAATAAAATCATGAAAACATGACCATTTGACATCTATTCAGTTCAGGCAGAAGACCCACTGCTAACCATTATCTGACCTAGCCAAATCCAGAATTTAAATTTTTCTCAAGTATCTTGTTCATTAGTTAGTCCATTTTCACATAAGCAGATTAGATTGCATTTGGGTTCAAATTTACAGATAGCTAATGACTTAAGACTACAATAACTGGATTTAAGTCCCAAGAACACATCACCCACTTTCTTCCCCATTATTTTTTTCCCATTTTAACATTTTTTATTTAATATTGTATGTAAGATTACTTTATTCCTGCATCTTCTCAATTGTTTCTTCCTTATATTTGCCCTTTTCCTTTCCTACTAGGCAAGATTTGGATTTGCGTTCAAGGATCTTTTTGTGGTCTTTGTCCAGTTTTAGTCCAGTGATAACCACCTTGCTGGGGTGGATGCCCATGTAGACAGTTGTGCCATTTGCCTTCCTCGCTGTATTTGTTCAATGTAGATAACACATTTCTTCCTGTAAACCTGGACTACTTTGCCAATTTGCTGACCTTTGTAGTGTCCTCCACAACTTGTACTTCGTCGTCCTTTGGGATGGGCATGGATTGAACGTTGTACTTCTGTTGCAGCTCCTTGGAAAGAAGGGAAGACATACTCTTCCTGTGAATGTGGGAAGGTGCATTGAAATGCCTTTTATGGTTCTTGCTCCGGTCAGAGGTCACAAACAGATTGAACTTCATGTTGACCACTGTAGCTCCAGCGATGGCCTCAAAAGGGAAGACCCCATTATTTTTTTTAATTAAAAAAAATTTTGTTTAATGTTTATTTTTTGAGAGAGAGGGAGACACAGACAGGGGTGAGTGGGGAAGGGACGGAGAGAGATGGAGACAGAATCTGAAGCAGGCTCCAGGCTCTGAGCTGTTAGCACAGAGCCTGACGTGGGGCTTGAACTCACAAACCGTGAGATCATGACCTGAGCTGAAGTCAGACACTTAACCGACTGAGCCATCCAGGCACTCCTAATTTTTTTTTTTTTTTTAAAACATTCATTTTTGAGACACCAAGCGTGAGTGGGGGAGGAGCAGAGAGAGAGGGAGACACAAATCCAAAGCAGGCCCCAGGCTCTGAGCTGTCAGCACAGAGCCCCATGCAGGGCTTGAATTCACAAACTGTGAGATTATGACCTGAGCCGAAATTGGACACTTAACTGACTGAGCCACCCAGGTGCCCCTCTTCTGATATTCTGCAGGTGTTTCCCTTCAAACTGAATGATTCAGTTCTGTGATTAATCTGATATGGTTAAGCTGCTGCCCTTCTCTGCCTAGAAATCCCATTGGTACTGGGCATCAAGTTGCATTATAAATTGTTCTTGAAGCATTTCATCTGCTTACTTGGTCTCTCCCTGGTGATCAACATGTTTTGTCATCTTTTATTTGTATTTTAATATTCAGCAAATAGTTTCTATGGGAGCTTGAATATTATTTAATATTCCTGAATTTTAGTCACTATACTTAATTTTAGGAAAATAAATATTCTTACCTCAGTTGAGTATTTTTCCTCTTTAATGTAGGCAGTGTCTTGAATTTTAAGAAATCATTTGAAGCAAAAATATATTTACTTTGTCATTTATAAACCTTTTCTACATATATTATACAGGTTGTAAGAGATGAAATAACTTATCTAACCTCACATACTACTAAATGAGCCTTCACATCTTGGCCCCCACCTACTTTTAAAACCTCAAGACCGCTTTTTCATCCTTAGACCTTACCTTTATGCGCTGAAGTTTTCACTGTTAAACATAAAATCTTTTACTAATAAACATACCATATCCCATCATTACTCTCTGCCTTGGCATACAAGTTATACAATTCATTTGGCATATTTACCAATCAAAACCAGTTGAAGGTTATGTTCTTGGTGAAAATTTCTTTTTACTTTTCTGAGGATTTACTCCTTAGGAAACCCATAGTAGTTTATACATTATTACTATTATAGCATATATCTTACTGTGTTGTAATAGCCTATTTATATATCTGCCTACTTCATTAAACATGTGTTATACATTTGTACATCATTAGCAACCAACTGTGTCTCAGCTTAGGGTATGGATGCTCAATAAATACTTGTTGAATTCGTGGAAAATGGTGGGTTTGATACTTTTGCCACTATACCATGTTGTCCAGAGAGCTTCTAAAGGTTCAAAACATACTTTTCCTAGAATTTTCATTAAAAATACATTTGTAATATTTACATATAATGCTATAGTTTTAGTATTTTATTAATTAAAAAATTGATAGTCCAACTGTCATTGTATTGATTTTGAGAGAAACAGTATCAACAAGTAGCAACTTACTACAAAGAAACATATCTATTTAAAAATCAAGTGAGTGTTCTGTATCACTTGATAAAACTCATAATGTGTATTGATTGACATAAAAGGTACTTATAATCAGGATTCCTCTTACAAGGGATAAGTCTAGAAGGTCTAAAGTAAGCAGAAACAAATTAAGTTTTTTTTTAAATCCTCTTTTTAAGCCCACATGGGACTGTTAGAGTATTTGAAGTAATATAAGTCCATGAAATGTAATAACAGCCTTCGGGAATGCACCAGATGGTTTTGTGACCAGGTTACAACTGCACTATGAGTTTCCTAAAAGGTCTTTACTGAAAGTATAATCTTTGTCTGAAGTGGGCATAATTCATTTGAACAAGGCAGTATGAAAACAATGGAAAAAAGAAAATGTGAAATTCTTTTTCTCTGAACCGTTTTTTTTTTTAACTTAAATGCCTTTCTACCATAGGACACTTTAAAATAAACCAAAGTGGAATCAAAAATAGAGTGGCACTCTGACTTTCCATTGATTTTCATCACTGTTCTATAATATTGGCAGTATCCATCTTCCTCTCCTGCCTAATTTTGTGGTGTGATGCCTGAGAACCTATGGATTACTTTAATATCAAAAAAGAATGTTATATAGAATTTAGATTTTTTTAGATTTTCTGGAAAAATCAAATATTTATATTAACCTTCACCGCTCTCAAAATTCCATGACAGTAAAGGAATAAAAATGTCCAACCACAGAGTTAAAAAAAGAGTGGAAGAGGGGACAATAACAGATGAGATGTCAACAAATTTTGAACATTGGAGAACAAATGAATGATTGAGTGACTTAGCAGGCAAAAGAAGGCTGTTGCAAAGCCAACAAGATCCTTCAGATTCAGGCATGGAAAAACTCAGGATGTGGGGACACTGAAGTATCATTTGAAGTAGGGTTAATCACAAAAGAATTGGTTGCCAGTTCCTATAAGTAGACAGCTCCCTCCTCCACTGAGATTTACTCTCTGGAGAGATTATACTAGAGAGTTTATATATTCTTCAACTCCAGCTGTAGCTAAGGATGCATAAAAG